AATCTGGGTTTTCTTTCTTGGAGAGGTTTCTTCGAGTGATTCAACTTCCCGGATGATTCGAAAACAGGATAAAAAAATAAAAGAAAAAAGATCCGACCGGGTGCGCGTCCCAGCTTGGCATGCTTAGGGGTTCGCAAGGATCCCCGGGGTCCCAGAACCCGCCAAAGCGTCCAGGGCCAGAAGGACCCCCAGCTGCCTCCCCACAACCCGCAACCCGCATCCGGACTCCGAGGCCGCCAGCCCGACCCCTGACCCGGGACAGCTCCCACCTGCACCGCCGGCGGGGCGGGGCTGGGCGCGCCTGCTCCTGGGCCGCAGTGTAGCCGCAGCGCCTGCCCCGCCCCCGCCCGCACCCGGCTCCTCTCCCCCTTCCCCCTCGCGGCCGCGGTCCAGGACCGCGGAGCCACTCTAGAGCGAACGCCCAGCCCAGGTGAGCGCCCGCCCGGATCCCCGGACCTCGGCCCCGACCCCACGACCCTGCCACCTCTCCTCCGCCCCCGGGTTCCTGCCCGGCAACCTCTGTACCCAGGCTAGCGTGTGCGCTCGCGGGTCTCGGACCTGGGACCGGCGCTCTAAGGGCTGCGGGTTAGGAAATTGGGGAGAGAGAGACAAGCTGGGGCGGGAGCGCCCCTCTTCCTTCTCCCCTTCCTCGCTGGCCCTTCCTGCTCGCCGCGCGGTCCTACTGTGTGGCATTCCTTCTCCTGGTTCACTTGGTCTGGTGAGGGGACCTGGGTGATGCGTGAAGGCTGCTTGAAAAGGCATCTCAGATAGAGAAACTGCACGTGCAAAGGCAGGGAGAGTGCACAGGAGGTTTGTGCCTGAGCCCCGTGGGGGAGGAGGTGAGGACCAATAGCACCCCAAATGCCTGACTGAGGAGCTTGGATGCCGTGCGAAGAAAGGCTGGAAGCTACTGAGGGCCTGAGCTGGGCAGGAGCCTCCCAGGGTGGGTATGGGAAGGGCCTATGTGACCCTTGATGAAGAGTGGAACCAAGGGGGGGGGGGGCAGTGCAGAGGAGTGGGGAGAGGCTCCTCCCCAACTGCATCGCTGGGGCCCTGGGAAGGGGATCTGGGACAGGACACAGGCACTGTTACAATTTTTGGCATTGGGCAGCTTGTGGGCAAAGGACAGCACTCCTCAAAAAGTTGGGGTCTTACCCTGGCTGGTGTAGCTCAGTTGGTTGGAGTGTCCTCCCCTGCACCAGGTCAGGGCACATACCCAGGTTGTCGTGTGTATGTATGCAGGAGGCAACTGATCCATGTTTCTCTCTCACATCGATGTTTCTCTTGCTTTGTCTAGCTCCTCTCTCCCTCTCCTTTCCTCTCTCTCCAAAAAATCAATTTAATAAAACATATTATCAGGTGAAGATTTTTAAAAAACTTGGGTTCCCCTCCTGCCATGCCCCTGGCAAGGACTTTTGCCATTGAGTGGGGGTGTCTGTAGGAGGCAGAAGGACGCTAAGCTGGCTGAGCACACAGTAGGCCTGGAGAAGGTTCCATCCCCAGTAAATCTTTTCCAGGTCCAGGGCTCTGGAGCGTCCAGACACCTGGGCACCTGGGAAGGGGGGGAACAGCCTAGACAAGCACCTGGTGGCAAGTTAAGGTTCTACCTTTTCTGGGATCTGTGGTCCAGCAAGTGAGGCCAGGTACCAGGTTGGAAGAAGGTGGGCAGGGCTGAGCTAGTTGTGAAGCCAGGATCTGGGGAGGGGCCTCCTTTGTGCCCAGGGAGGGTGCTGGCAGTGCAGGTGGTGATCACATTTTGCAGATCTGCTTTGGTGATGAGTGGGGGAAAGAACATGGGTGTGCCTAGGTGGCTCTTGGGTGCCACTGTTTCCTGGCCTATAATGAGTGTCACTAAGGCAGGTAAGATCAGGTGCCAGGCAGTAGGTGGTCCTTTCCCCAACCTTTTCCTTCTTTCTTGACCCCCTTTCTATCAGGTGCCCACCCAGGGTTCTGTCTGTGATCGAGATTGGGGTGAGACCCAGTGGGCCTCAGCCTCACCTCAAGTTAGACTTCAGGAAGAATTTCCAGGGGAAACAAATGGGATGACTGTGAGATAGACTGTGAGGAAGTCAGTTGTAAACAGGGCAGCTAAACTTTTGTCCTGAGTCTTCCAAAGTCCATTCTGTAAGCTGCATCTTCTAGATGGCCCATCCTGTGGCTTTGAGGTGTTTTTGGCTGCAGGAATCTCCTTGTTGACCCGTTGACCCTCCCCCAGCCCCGTGGCTTGCAGGGTGATGTCAGCTTCTTGAGTCTCTGCCCATCTTGGAACTAAGGTGGGAAGGGGATGGGAGGCCACCCAGATGCCCCTACCTGCTGTTTGACCTTGACAAGTCCTTGGCCCCTCAGTTTATCCATCTGCTGTTAGGCATGACCTTCAGCACCGTGGGCCAGGTGGGCATTTGTGAAGAGTGAAGGTGGGAGTGGGAGCTCATGGCTGCTGGACATGCTCTGTGGCAGGACTGTGTGCCTAGCCTCGCTTTCCCCCAACCCCATCAGGCCTGGGCTTTCAGCCCACTTCTGTTCACCATGGATCTGGGTTTCCCTGGGGACCAGTGGACAGGCTCAGCCCCACCCACCCCCAACCCATCCTGGCAGCAGCTCACACTGAGAGGAGGGGGTGGAGGCTGGGCTGCCTCCTGGACCTCTGCCCCCTTGCCCTGCTTTCCAGGGCCTGTCAGCCTGATTCTACTTCTGGGCTGGGAGCAAGAAGCAGCGGCCGCCCTTGAAGAAGGTGAGTGTCCAGGGGCTGGCAACCAGGGTGGGCACAAGGACCAGGGAGAACTAAGTGTCATCCCATTGTAGGAAGGGGAAATCCAAGGACCAAGAGGCTCTGATCTGCCCAAGGAGACCTGGGGTTTGACCCCAGCCATGGTGGCCTCCCCAGAGAAAGGAGGGTCCCAGTGATCCCAAGCTGCAGGATTTTGAGGGGGCAGCAGCATCAGGGTGGGTTTCCTGGACAAGGCTGGACCTAAAAGTCTGGCAGAGGGGCTCCCCTGGCAGTGGGCACAGCCCAGGCAAAGGTGAGTGTGAGGAGTGAGGGTGCTGAGCCTGGAAGGCCTCAAAGGGGAGGTGCCCTCCAGGGTCCCATTCTTCCTCCGGCTGCCCTATTCACAACATTTCCCAGCTCCAATGTGGGCCTCTTCCAGAAACCCCTCCCATACTGTATCTATCTCTCTGTGTCTCTACCCACATCCCACATCTAAACTCTGATCCCTATAGATGCCCCCTCTCCCCTACCCCCACAGGTTACTAAAGGCAACTCCAGCTGGAATGGCAGCAACAGCATTTCTAAGGGCCGTGGGGGGTCCAGCCCCACTGGGGGCACCCTAGCCTCCCACAACCCACCATCAGTGCGACTGCCTCCTGCCCATCTGAGGGCCACTCGCCATGGGCGGCTGCTTCTCCAAGCCCAAGCCAGGTACATCCTCTCTTCTTGCTTCCCCCCTCCCTCCACCCTCCACCCTCCTTTCCTCTGTTCTCCATCCCCCCTCCCTCCTCCTGCCACCTTTCTCCTCCCCCTCCCCCGCTGCCTCAGAAGTAGGTCAGGCTGGGTGGCTGCCACTTTGAATGTTAATACGCTGCAGGCAGGAGGGGGTGAGAGGCCTGGAGCCCTACTTCTGGCCCCCCTCCAGTGGCCCTTCCTCTTTATTTGGGGCTTTGGATGCTGGTGGTAGGAATAGCACCTGAATCTTTCTTGGAAAGGGGAGGGGAGGATTCCTTCTGCAGCCGGGTGGGGAAGGGCAGCTGTGTCCCCCAGGGCTGGGGAAAGGGGCTCTGGGGACAGAAACCCTTAGCCACTGTGTGACCCAAGGTATGTAAGTTACCTTTCTGAGCCTCACTTTCCCTCTCTACAGAATTGCTGTGAGAGTGGAATGGACAGGTCCCAGCCCTCTTCACCTCTTCTGACCCCTGTGTGATCTTGAGCCACCTCCTCAGCCTCTCTGGGCACACTTTCCCATATGTACAGGAAATCTCCACCCTGCCTGGCCCAAGGAGTTCCAGCCCAGGATGGGGGTGGTCCAGGGTGCTGGGGAGGCCTGGGTTTGCTCTCTGATGGAGGCTCTTCTCTGGGAGTTCTCCCTGTGGCCCCACTTTCCCTCTCGTCCTCACAATACTCAGGAAAGCAAGGTGTGCAGGCATGCCACAGATGAAGAAACTGAGGCCAACAGAGGCCTCTCTTGTGCCCAGTTAGTGCCCCACCCACCTTGCCCAGGCCACCTGCCCAGCTCCCCTTACCTGATACCCATCGGCTCCATTACCTTGGAACGCCTGAGCCTTTTCTCCTTTTCTTGCATCTGAAGGGGAACTTGGGGGCAAGAGGAGATGTGTGATGCCCTATCTGCCAGGCAGGGGAACTCACCCACATCTGCCTGCCATCCCCTCCGGTGGCTTGGACACAGCCCTGTGCCAGATCTCACCACCCTCCCTGCCTCCATGTATGACCTGGGCAAATGATGTCTGTTGTCTTGATCTTAGCCTTCCCCCATCAGAATCGAGTGGAAGGATGCTGACTGGCCCCAGCTGGCAGGAGGCCCTGGGCAGAAGATACCACCTGTAGTTTCCTTTAAAGGGATACAAAAGGCTGGCCTGCCTGGGACCCCTAGCCCCAGGACTCCTAGTATAGTGCCTGGTCACACTTACCACACCAGAGGCAGTGCTAAGAACTTGGCCTCTTGAGTCCAAATCCAGCCTCCCTAAATGTGTGGCCTTGGGTAGATGACTTCACCTCTCTGATTCTTGGTGTTCTCACTTGTAAAATGGGGCCGCCCTGGCCAGTTTGGCTCAACAGTGAGAGCGTCGGCCCTGGGACCGAAGAGTCTCCGGTTTGATTCCTGGTCAAGGGTGCGTACCTCAGTTGCAGGTTCAATCCCTGGCCCCTCGGTCCTCGGAGTGGTGTGAGAGGCAACCAATTGATGTGTCCCTCACGTTGATGTTTCTCTGTCTTTCTCCCTTCCTCCTTCCCACTCTATCTAAAAAAATCAATGGAAAAATATCCTCATAGCTTTGCGCAGTGGCAGTATTGTAGCCAATGAGGTTTATCCAAGGCACAATTATTGCTAAAAAAAAATCCTCAGGTGAGGATTAAAAATAAATAATAAATAAATAAAATGGGGCTAATAATTGTGTCCCCTATGCGGGCTGTTGTGTTTAGCATAGTGTCTGGCACATAAGCAGCCCTTGAAAAACGTCCTCTTTTAGGGCTGGGCTATCTGCAGCCAGGATTCCCTTGTGGGGCTGTGGTGGGAGAGCAGGAGCTCAGGCCTCAGGCACATCCTGGGCAAGTCAGGGGTGAGGCTTAGGGAATTTAAGGGTGTGGGAGTGAGAGCATTTGGCCATGAGGGTTTAGCTGAGATTAAAAGGGACCACAGGGAAACCAGAACAAATTCTTCACTTTCTACTTGCCTCAACTCCGTGGCTCAGAGAACATCAGCACACACTTTCTGAGCTTCCTCTATTCTCCCCGTGCTTCAGTGGAGCTGTGTTCCTTATAGGAAGTATTCCAGGCCAGACCCTTGCTAGGCTCAGAACTAAGAGGAAGTGCACCTCTTTTGGTATCCGGTCACCTGCCTTTTATTAGGCCACAGTGCTACCTAAAGGCTTTCCCTCTTCATCACAGCCGCCAGGAAGCTCAGAGCTAACCAATAAAACACTGTTACCCAACTTCATCTGTTGAGCTTCTGCTCTGGGTTACATATTACTTATATTATCTCCTTCAGCATTCAGTGTCAACAGTGGGCAGCTGGGAATCATGGAGTTAGGATTGCTTTGGCTCTGTGAGTGAGCAGAGACATTCACCTTTCCACCACTGCTCCTGACTTAATGGCTTCCAGTTAGATTGCATCAGGCAGAGCCTCAGAGCCTTCTGGAAGAAGGTGTAGGATGAAAGCAGTCTGGCTTGGCTATTATCTGGGCCCCTGCCAGGCTGTTCTTGTGAGCCCCCTCTCTAAAGCTCACATAGCTGGTGTCAGCTGAATCCAAAGTATTTTTCTTTTTAACTCTTCTGAAAACATTCTAACACTATTACGTAAAATGTGGAAAACAGAGGGTAAACCCACTTCACCCATAAGCCCCCACCTGACACAACAGCTTCAGCATGTGGTGTGCTCAGGTGCCCCTCCTGCCCAGCTGGAATCATGGAGTAGATCTTCACCCCTGCTATGCCAGGCCTGAGCTGGGGGCTGGAACTTGAGGATGGGTGGGGGAGCTGCCCCCGGGCTCCCAGACCAGGCCAGGGTAGGGGATTAGTAGTGTGAGGTGAGACATGCAGGGTCTGGGCAGCCAGAGGAGGCAACACCTGAGCTGTGTCTAGGCGGATGGACAGGAGATAGGGCCAGGAGAATGGCAGTCTGGGCCAAGGGAATTGCATAGGCAAAGGCTAGGAGATGTGACTCTGGGTTGTTTACTTCTGGTGTGTCAGGTTTGAGGTGGAGGGGATGCCTGGAATCTCTGGTGCCTTGGAAGTTGGGAGGCACTTTCTGCTCCCTCATCGGGCCCATGCTGTGCCAGGGTCATAGCTTTCATCACCCAGCGTCCTCCCTGCAGCAGCAGCCCAGGAAGCCGGATTATCGCTGTTCAAAATTCTGTTTATTGTTCCCTTCTAATTAGAAAAATACCCCAGGCACATTGTAGGGAATTTGGAAAATGCAGAAAAGTATAAAGAAGAAAATGACAATCTCTGGCTAACTCTCCCCTAGAGTTGGCCCCATGGGCAGGCTGGGGAAGTATCTTCTGTGTGGAGGCTGGTGTGTGTGTGTGTGGGGGGGGGGTGCTGTGCCCTCTCTGCTCTGTCCACATGTACTCCCCAGGTGGGGTCGCCCCCAAGGCCCCAAATCCCTGCACATGAAGATGCTGAAAACCAGTGCTTGGTCAATGCTGAAAGATTCTCAAACTGATGAGAATAGCTATTTTAAGAAGTTGAAATTATGTCGTGTACATTTTCTTTTTGATTTTGAAAAACATTTCAAACCTATGAGAAAGTTGCAAGCATAGAACAATGAACCCTGACTTCCCATCACCCAGATTCGCTGGCCAGGATCTGAGCTGCACCCATTTGGGATGCCCTGTTCTCACTTGAGTTAGACCCTAAACGTGCCCCTGATGCCTCCGGGATGTTGATGTCCTCCACTGGAGGCCGTACCCTTGGAGTTGGATCAAGACTCAGGGAACCATCCCTGCTGGTGTGGTTCAGTGGATTGAGAATTGCCCCATGGACTGAGAGCTTCCGGTTCAAGTCCCGTTCAGGGCATATCCCTGGTGGGGGCTGTGCAGGAGGCAGCTGATCGATGTTTCTACCTCTCTCCCTTCTACTCTCTCTAAAATAAAATAAAATAAAATAAAATAAAATAAAATATATATATATATTAAAAAAAAAAAGACTCAGGGAACCAGGGAGAATTCCTACACACAGAATTATAGAGAAACGGTGATTTCAGAGTTGGAGGAGTTTTGTTTGCGCCTCCTTACTAATTTTGTTATTGGGAAAAAAAAAAAAATCATGCAAACATCAATTCAAGCCGACCCAGTGCCCATCCCTGCTGCCCCTGCCCTGCTTCGTGCCTGTTTTAAGGCTCTTTGCTGGTGGCATTTATGGCTTTCTGGAGAGGTCCAGGCATAGGGGAGAACCCACACTGAGAAGAGCAGGCCCTCCCCAGAGCTGGAGGAGTGGGCAAGGAAGTGGGTGGGCAGGGGGCTCATGGTGCCTCCCACCCCCCAACAGTGGAGCTCAAGATCGAGGTGGTGCTGCCAGAGAAGGAGCGGGGCAAGGAGGAGCTGTCGGCCAGCGGGAAAGGCAGCCCCCGGGCCTACCAGGGCAATGGCACTGCCCGCCACTTCCACTCAGAGGAGCGCCTGTCTGCCCCTCACCCTTATCCTGGTGCTCAGGACTGTGTGGAAGCCGCCGTCTGTCATGTCAAGGACCTCGAAAATGGCCAGTGGGTGCTGGGTCTGGTACAGGGATCAGAGGGTCCAAGGTGGGAGGGCAAGCACAAACCATAGATAAGGTGGGCAGGGAGGCCTGGAAGGGGCCCCTGGCTAGCTCCCATCCTGGCCACTGCCTTCGTGGCTTCTGCTTGTCTGGGCCTGCTACCCAGAAGGCTGGACTCTGGGGGGAGGTGCTGGCAGGAGGTGGTGCCTCACATCTGGCCTGAATTCTGAGTGCAGCCCCTCCCCAGGATGCGGGAAGTGGAGCTGGGCTGGGGAAAAGTATTACTGGTGAAAGACAATGGGGAGTTCCACGCCCTGGGACACAAGTGTCCGCACTATGGTGCGCCCCTGGTGAAAGGTGAGTTGTCTGGGTGCACACTGGAGGTAGGTGCGGGGCTTCCCGAAGTGGTCTTGGCCACTGCACCTTCCAGCCCAGCTCCACAAGGCCCTAGCCCCAAGTTGCTCCTTCCTGGACCTCCACTTCCTAATCTGCTGGTGGGGTCTGTGGGGCTGTGTGAAGGGCCAGCAGGTGCTGGGACACAGAAATCCTTGGAGAGGGGCTCTTGCAGGTGACCTCAGTTCAGGAGTGCCTCCTCCCAGGCGTGCTGTCCCGTGGCCGGGTGCGCTGCCCCTGGCATGGTGCCTGCTTCAACATCAGTACTGGGGACCTGGAAGACTTCCCTGGCCTGGACAGTCTGCACAAGTTCCAGGTGTGGTTGGGTGTGTGGGGGATGGGAGGCTGGGGGTACAGGGTCAGGGGCTGGAGCACCCCAAACCCTGTTTCTGAGCACTGCAGCACTTGCAGGTGAAGATTGAGAAAGAGAAGGTGTATGTCCGGGCCAGCAAGCAGGTAAGGGTGTGATTTGAGGCTCAGGTAAAAGGGAGAGCCGAGGTGGGCATCTGGGCCCAGGGAACAGCATGTGCAAAGACCTGTGGTGGGAGGGAGTCCCATGAGTGTGGCTGGGGAGCAGAGTAAAGGGTGCATGGTGGGGATGAGGCTGGACTGCTGGGATTATGGCAGGGAAGTTGGCCATGACCTCAGCTCCCAGCTGCCCCTCACTCTCCGGCAACTCCCAGGCCTTGCAGCTGCAGCGAAGGACCAAGGTGATGGCCAAGTGCATCTCTCCAAGCGCTGGCCATAGCGGCAGCACCAACGTGCTCATTGTGGGCGCAGGTTGGTGGTGGGGTAATGAGCGGCAGGGTTGGGTGCGAGAGAGGTGGTCCCTGACCCCTAACCCCTTCCCCTCAGGTGCAGCTGGCTTGGTGTGTGCAGAGACCCTACGGCAAGAGGGCTTCTCAGACAGGATCGTCCTGTGCACACTGGACCGACACCTCCCATATGACCGGCCCAAGCTCAGCAAGGTGGGAGTGGTAACGGGGGGTGGGAGCAGTCAGGCCCACTCAGCCTTGGGTGCAGTCAGGCCCACTCAGCCTTGTTCGCTGCCCAACTGGGGGTCTGGGCAGCTGCCCTCTCTGCTCCAGGCTCTGGGGTATGAAGATCTGAGTTTGTTGAGTTCAGTTCTACAGCCCCTGTGTGACCTGGGGCTGGCTCTACCCTCCTTGGGCCCCAGGTCCTTTGTTGCAAAATGGAGCGATGGCTGCTTGGCTCCATCTTAAGCTGGCTCTCTCCCACAGTCCCTGGACGCCCAGCCTGAGCAGCTGGCCCTGAGGCCCAAGGAGTTCTTCCGAGCCTATGGCATCGAGGTGCTCACTGAGGCCCAGGTAGGGGACAAAGCTGGGGAACAATGAAAGGCGTGAGGCCATGTAGGCTCCTGAAAATGTGAGTCTGCTTTGCCCCCCTGGCCTTGCTGCCCAGGCACCTGGGGGTGCTCCTGGCCTGGGAGGCTGCACTGGATATTCTTGGTTGGGTCATGGGCACATTGATTACCCCAGTGTGGGGACAAGGATGATTTGCTCGGGGCTGGGAGGGGAGAACTTGGTGGGACTTGGCAGTGTAAGGAGGGCCTTGAGGGAAAGCTGATGTCTGAAACTTTAAGAGGAGGGCCCTGGCCAGGTTCAGTGGTTAGAGCTCGGCTCACAGACCAATGAGTCATGGGTTCGATTCTGGTCAAGGGCACGTGCCTCGGTTGTAGTTCATCCCTGGTCCTGGTTGGGCTCCTGTGGGAGGCAACCAGTTGGTGTCTCTTTCATGTCAATGTTTCTCCCTCTCTCTCTCCCTCTCTCCCACTCGATCTGATGGTAAATGGAAAAATATC